ACGCCGACGTCGCCAATGCATCGTCGACGTCGCCAGTACATCGCAGATGCATCGCCGATGCATCGGCGATGTATCGGCGATGCTTCGACATCCACAGACCCCATATATTCTGACCCCGTTTGGGAGTCTATAGGTGAACGAAAAAGGACATAACATAAACATGAGAACTCGGAGGTCTGCGCGGACTTCTCGGATCCACGCTGGACCCCATTCCCTGGCGCGCTCCACGCGCCAGGGGCGGCGCCGGAGGCGCCACCAGGGAGTCCCCAACGCTTATCCGAGAAATCCGCGCGGACCTCCGAGTTATTATGTTTGTGTGATTGTTCGTTCTCCTAGACAAGGGGGGGTGGGAAGACTTCATAGAAGCACCCCGTGTTCCTTGTCTGTAGATGTACGGCCCGCGACTCCCTAACCCCCCTTCTGCGCGCCGCCAACAAGATGGGGCCGGAGTGGATGGGATCGGAGGGTCGCGCCGCCTCACGGGTGCCGTCGGCGATGCAACTCGGTGTGGAGCCCGGCTTCTCCACGCCGATGCATCGGCGACGCATCCGCGATGCGGCGTGCGACCCTCCGACCCCATCTGCTCGGTCACCATCTGGGAGGCCTCCTTCTCAAAGGAGGAAAAGGTACCGATACCGCTGCCCTCCCCTCGCTCTTGTTTTTGGGGGCCTCCTGGGAGGCCCTCGTCGCCACGGATGGAGTCGCTTCGACATTCTGGCCAGAACGCACCACTTGAGAAGTCCTGGGAGCGGCGGCATCGGTACTTTGTTGGCTTCCCCAGGAGTTGGGCATGGGCCGAGGCCGGCTGGCGCTGCAGCTCTTCCTCAGCGGCGCCACGGTGATCGACTACACGTAAGAGTGACCCTTCGCCGGAGTAACCTTTGGTGCTGGCCCACAGGGGTTAGGGTGATTTTTCGAGTGGCGCCCTGCCGATCGTCGATGCGGCGCGGCAGCGCCGGCTTGCACTTGTGCGTTCGGCCCCCACGGGCGCCCCTGCAGCCGCGCACCAAGGGTCACCCTGGCCCAGGGTCACTTCTGCGCGTTAGTCGAGGTGATCGGCGTGGAGCTGGCCAGCGAGAGGTACGGCCTCGCAGTAGCGGCGATGGAGAGACTGGCGCACCGCTCCCCCGAGGACTTCGAGATCGTGCACCGCGGCGCGCAGTCCGTGCGGCTGCGCCGCTGCGGGGGGCCCAAGAGCGCCCTCTACGAGGTGCGTTTGGGGAGTTTCTTCGACGTCGTGACCGACGAGGAAATAGGCTCGGCGGCGAGCGAGGGGGGGAAGCGAGAAGGAGAAGGCCTTCTCAGAAGGCGGCGGGACTGCTCAGAAGCCCCCTCGCGCCTTCCGAGGAGTTGTTTGTTTTGTATACTCGGGGGAGGCTTAGAAACTGCTCAGAGGGCCGGGGGACTTCCGAGCCTTTGAGAAGGCCTTCTCCTTCTCACCTCCTCCCTCCCATGCGCGGTCCCCGGAAGTCTCGACCCACTCCCCAGGACCGGTTTTTCGTCCTGAGCCGTTTTTTGACGGTCCCGAGGCCGGGCGAGGGCCCCTGGGGGCCGAAATTAGCAAAAAACTTCCGTGGACTGAACTCCTCCTGGCTCTTGCTGACAGGACGCTGGACGTCAGGGCCCGCGCCGGGCCATGCTGGCCGCTCGCCCCCCTCCTCCTCCTCCTCCTCCTCCTTCCTCTCCTCCTCCTCCTCCTTCTCCTCCTCCTCCTCCTCCTCCTCCTCCTCCGCCTGGCGAGGGCCCCTAGGGGCCGAAATTTGAGACGACCCTCCGCCCTGATTGTTGTCAGTGCGCGGGACCTCCGTGCTCGCTCGCCGCCGGCAGGCGTCGCCACGCTCGTCTTCCTCCACGTGAGCCTCCCGCCGCCCACGTGGTCCCGCGTCCGCGGCCTCGTGGCGCGGACGCGCGCGGGGTGCCGCCTCCTCGCCTACGAGGACCTCGCCGCGATGTGGGAGCGGCAGCCCGACGCCCCGCCGCTCACGGCCGCCCGGGGCGTCCAGCTCGCCTGCAGCTGGGCCCCCGAGGACCACGCTGCTCCCATCGCACTCCAGCCCAGAGCTCCAGCGCACTGAAGAAAAATCAGGACGGAGGTTTTTCACGACTTTCGGCGGGCCTCGGGACCGTCAAACAACGACTCAGGATGAGAAACTGGTCCTGGGGATTGGGTCGAGACTTCCGGGGACCGCGCATTGACAAATCACAGCATCGGATCTCTGGGAGGACAGAATCCCAGAAATCACTTCGAGCACCCCGAAAAGTATCGAAGCAGCGTCGAACGAGCATGGCCTCCCAGAGCCCGACGCGTGGAATCCCTCCCATTTCGGCACGTTCTTGGTGCTCGACCTTCTTCCTGGTGATTCTGGCGACAGTAGGTTGGAACATCATACCCCGAGGAGGGCCACCGCTTCCTGCTCTGCGAGCGCGTCCCCGAGCCGCCAGGCGGCCCGGCCTCCTCCGCCCACGAGGCCCCGGCCCCGGTGGCCGAGGGCTCTCCCGGCGGACCGCCGTGGCCCGCGGAGGCGGCGCGCTCCGGCGCCGCGGCGCCGCCCGCGCCGGTGCCCACCGCGAAGGCGCTGTCCGCGCTCTCGGCGAAGGCCGCGGCGAAGCGCCTCGGCCGCGTGGGCTGAGCGGCCTTTGGCACCGGGCGGCGCGCGCCGCGCAGGCCCGCCGAGGCATGCTGCGAGGGCGGCCGCCGCCAGTCCGGCGCGCCCCGCCGCCGGCCAGGCGCGCCGCGCCGGCGGCGCGCGCGACGCCGAGGGGGGGGGCCTCTGCTGCGGAGCAGCGGCGGCGCAGCCAGCGAAGGGCGCCGCGAGGGCCTCGAGGGGGGGGCGGCGCCCTCCGCGAGAGCGCCGCTCGGCCACGAGCGGTGGGCCTGCCGGGGGGCAGCGGCGGGAGCGGCTGCGGCCGCGCGCGGGCAGGGCTCGGCGCAGAGGCGGCGAGGCCCTCTGTTTCTCGGTCGGGTCGGCTCGGCTCGGCCGCGGGGGTTAGGCCTGCGAGTCGGGGGCCTCGGGCGGGAGGCTCGGGCGGGACCCCCAGGTCAGGGGCAGCCTCAGGGGGGGGGGACTGGCTCGGCGGTTCGAGGCTCGAGGTCTTCGGGCGTTTTCGTCGGCTCTCGGCGGCTTTCCAATTTCGGGATGCGTTCCAGCAGCTGCGCCTCGCCGAGGGCATCGTCCCGAACGGCCGCCAGGGGCCCAAGATATGGCCCGAGATAGAAATCATCAGGGACGGGGGATGTGCTGAGGGGGCGGAGGCACCGAACTCCAATCGCCCATTCATCGCCGATCGAGGCCCGAGAACCGATTGCCTTCCCCGTTCAGGAACGCGCCTATTCGCTATTGGGGGCCCATCGCCGATCTGTCGGCGGTGCATCGCCGATTCCACGTCGGTGCTCCCCCCCCCTGAGCCAGTCCCCCCCCTGCGGTCTGGAACTTTGCCGCAGCGTGTCGCTCCGCCGGTTCTGGCCCACCACGCCTCGGCGCAACACCCGATCCACTCCCCTCGACGCAACACGCTATCCACTCCCCAGTGGTCGAGCGCCAGTGACCAGAGCCTTCCCGAGCCTCGCGCCCAGCGGAACGGAGCGCCACTCTGCCCGCTTGCAGGGCAAAGGAGGAGGAGGAGGCGGAGGAGGATGGAGGAGCGAGGAGGAGGGGAGTGAGGAGGAGAGGGAGGAGGAGGAGGAGGAGGAGGAGGAATAGGAGGGAGTAGGAGGAGGGAGGAGGGAGGCGGAGGAGGGCGGAGGGTGGAGGGTGGAGGTGGAGGAGATGGAGGAGGAGGAGCAGCGGAGGAGGGAGGAGGAGAGGGAGGCGGGAGGAGGGAGGATGGAGGAGGGAGGAGGAGGAGGGGAGGAGGAGGAGGGGAGGGAGGAGGAGGAGGGAGGAGGCGGAAGAGGAGGAGGTGGAGGAGAAGGAGGAGGAGGAGGATGAGCAGGAGGAGGAGGAGGGGGGCGCGAGCGGCCTGCAGGGCCCGGCGCGGGCCCTGACGTCCAGCGTCTTGTCAGCAAGAGCCAGGAGGAGTTCAGTCCACGGAGATTTTTTGCTAATTTCGGCCCCCAGGGGCTCTCGCCGGGCCTCGGGACTGTCAAACAACTCTGGATGAAAAACCTGTCCTGGGAAGTGGAGCAAGACTTCCGGGGACCGCGCATGGAAAAAATCACGACATCGGATCTCTGGGTTTGTCCCCCTGGGAACGGGGTCGGAAGCTGCAGGTCCCGCGCACTGGAGCGTGAGGACAGCGGAGGTCCCCAGATCGAACCTCCCAGACCCCCTTGCCCCGTTGCGGCTCTCCCCACCCTAGAAGTCCCTGGAGGCCCCCGGCCCCAGCATACCGTCCTCGTCCCCAAGAGAGACGTTGTAAAACGGATGGTGGTCACCCACCAGAAGGAGGGAATCGGAAAGGAGGAGCACCCCCAAGCAGCAAACTCCTCGTCCCCTATCCGACGTCATGTTTTTCCGTGACTTGGCTTCTGGACTTCTCGATCCCACCTTGGGGGCCAGTTTCTTCATCCGGGGCTGTTTGATGGACCTGGGCCCAAAACAGGCCTCCAGAGGCACCAAGCCTGGACAAACTGGACGTCACGACTGCTCCGCGACGCCAGAGGTACGGAGGGCTCCGGAGGCATCCCGGAGCTCCCCGCGGAGGCTCCCACGAGCCTCTCCCCAGGGGCCGCCGCAGCTCTTTGGAGGCAAGCCGAATTACAGTCAACCTGCATAGTAAGGACGGGTAACCTTCCCAAGGGTACCATTGCATCCTTGCCTCCTAGGTCCGTCATTCGCCACTTCCGTTGCCCGCGCCCCGCTCGACAAGCTGCGAAAGGAGCTTCCAGGGCCCTTGCACCCCTTATCGCGGATCCTCGCGATGCGGGCCGCCTGTACCAGCACGCATGGAGAGGCCTTGACCTTCGATGCCTCGATCCCCGAGCCTCGATCCCCGAGCCTCGATCCCCGCGCTCCTCGCTGCCTCTTCCGCCCCTCCCGGGGCGGGGAGGTGGGACGCCACGCTGGACGAGCTCGACAGGGCGTCGCAGTCGCGGGGGCTGGGACGCACAGGCGCGGGCGCGCGCAGCAAGCATAGGGGCAGGAAGGGGTCGTTTGCGAGGGGAGGGGCTTGGCATCGCTCGGACGTGTGCGTTTTTCCTTCGGCGAAGACCATCGAGGAGCATCCTTGAGCATTTGACGAAAAAGCCACGCACAAAACCAAAAAAACACAGGGAATGGACGTCCGAGCGATGCCCGGGGGAGGAGAGCGAGAAGGAGAAGGCCTTCTCCAGAAGCTTCGGAAGCCCCCTGGCCGTCCGAGAAGTCTTCGAAGCCTCCCCCGCGGGCCCAACAGGAACTTCTCAGCGGGCGCGAGGGGGCTTCCGAGCGGTCCCGCCGCCTTCTAAGAAGGCCGTCTCCTTCTCGCTTCCCCCCCCTCGCTCGCCGCCGCGGCAGCAGCGCGGCAGCAGCAGCGGCAGCAGCGGCGGCAGGCCGGCCCGTGGTGGTGCGCGCAGCCGCGTGTCGCCCCACAGCCGCGAAAAACGACGCGGCGCCGTCCGCACACGGGGCCTGCTGTCTCCTCTCGGAGGCCTCCTCCTCCTCCTCCTCCTCCTCCTCCTTCTCCTCTTCCTCCTCCCTGGGCATCTTGGGTGCCTCTGGGGTCTTCTCGTGGGCCTCTCTGGCCGTCTCGGGGCACTCCCGGCCCGTCCAACCCCTTCTGAAGCCGTCTAGGGGGGGCCTCTCTGGGGCCGACTTGAGAATCCCGCTTGGGGTGCTCCAGGGCGCCACCTTGGGCCTCTCGGAGGCCTCTTTTTGGGCCGTCGAGGGGCCCTGGCTTTCGGACCGTTCCCCAGACCCAGGTTCGAGGAACCTTCGTCGGTGCAGCGAGTCTCGCCGTGGCCTTCCGGAGCCTGCTCGCTTCTCTCTCTCTCTCTCTCTCTCTCTTCGGAGCGGCGTCTCCCGGCTGCGGCGCCAGGGCTCCACGTGGCTTTATTGGGGGCCTCCTGGGCGCTTCGGCCATCTTGAGGCCATCTTGGGCGCTATTGCGCCGCTCTTGTCGCTGAGTCGTGCTCCCTGGAACTCTTTTGGTCGGCATGGGGGGGGAGAGGCGCAACCGCCAGAGGGCGAGGCGAGGGGTGCTCGGCGGTTCTCCGCTGTGCTCGGGGGGCGGCCCAGGCCCGAGGGCCGTCGGAGGCGGCCCCCTGGTGAAGCGCCCCGGGCGCTGCGCGTGTCGACGGGAGCCTCGGCGGCGGCGGTCGGGGAGGGAGGGGGGCCCAGGGCTCTGGACGCCCGGAATGGCAGCCGCGGCGGCAGGGAGGAGGGTCGCCGTCAGGGGCCCCCACTCCGAGAGCTGCCTGCCCGACGGCCCAGGGGAGGGGGAGGTCGAGCGGAGCACCCGTGAGCCGACTCCCCAGATGTTCCTTTCTGGGGCGGCCTGCTTCGGAGCGTGAGAAGGAGGAGGAGGAGGAGGAGGAGGAGGAGGAAGACGAGGAGGAGGAGGAGGAAGACGAGGAGGAGGAGGAGGAGGAGGAGGAGGAGGGAGGAGGGAGGAGGAAGAAGGAGGGAGTGGAGGAGGTGGGAGGTTGAGGGACGGACATCATGTGCAGTTGTTCGTCCTTCTTCAGGGGGGGGTCCAGGCCTTTGGACCGTCCGAAAAATCGGGGCACGCTTCAGCTGAACCACATTGCCGGCTCATGGCAGAGCTTTGGGTTGCTGCCGGGTGCGCTCGGGGGGTCTGCCGCAAGTCGGCCCCGCTTGGTTCCCTTTGCAGTCCTGGGCGCAGCCCTACTTGGCTCGGTTTGGGAGTCGGGTTGCCACTGCTCCGCCGAGTTAGTCCCTGAAACATGTACCGTCGTCGCGAATGTATGCTTATACATATGTCTATATATCTCTTTACATATATATATATATGTATATACATAGATGTATATATGTATATCTAGATATAAATATGTATACACACACTGGGGTGTTGTACAAGGAATGTGCCCAGGAGGCTGCAGACCCTGGAGGGCTCCTTATCTGACGAGGGCGGCGGGGATGTCCATGGGCCCACGATTGGCGTTCAACCAGCTCCCGGGCCCTGGCTTCTCTACCCAGCGGTTCCTCATCCGGTGCCGTCACCGTCCATTGAAGACGGCTTTCTGCTTCGGAGTCGGCATGGCGGTTTGGGCGCCGCGACGTCTGCGGCGGCTCGCGCAGCTCTCGTGCTTCACCGCCCGGGCGGCCACCCTCCGCCCCGCGGCCTCGTGGCCCCCCGGCCCTGCTGCACGACGGCTGCGCTGTGCGCCCGACGGCGCGCCGACGCGGCGCCTGGCGCGAGCCCTGGCCCCGCAGGCTGGCAGCACGCGTGCGCCGACATCGAGCGAGACGTGGACAAGGCTCGGGGCGATCGGGCGGCCTGCAGTCGGGGAGCGAAGAATGACATGAACATAACCACTCGGAGGTCCGCGCGGAGTTCTCGGATCCGCGCTGGACTCCCTTGGCGGCGCCTCCGGCGCCGCCCCTGGCGGTCCTCCGC